AACATAAACCTCAGACAAGTGGTTTCATCTTATGAATAGAAAGTTTCTGTCTCATTATCGCTATCATGGCCCTTCCTCTTCCTAACCCTTTACTTCATCTAGTGACCAAATATGCCTAATCAGTTCTCTGCACCTGTTGAACTATACTTTTTTGTACCTTCTTATGCAGCAGACACTATGGGGGTTGGGATCTAGCAAGCCTATCCATAAAGTTCAAAGTATAATATAATAGTCTTTGTCCAACAACATTAACCCATCTATTCCCTTGTTCATCATACACCCTGTGTACGACAAGGTTTCTGCTGTAGTCTTATACATTCCCATACTGTGCTTTCCTATCTCAGAGTTGTTCCTGAAGCGATAATCCTTGTCTTGTCGATATATAGAATATCATTATTATAAAAGAGATTGTGCAAAGCCCATATCCCGCATAGCCAGCTAATTGAGAAATCCGTCTATGCCTCAAGGGCGGCCAATACCGGGCCATCTGCCATTGATCTCCAGGAAGCCTAGTCCCATGGGACACATAGCTCCCATCCAGCATAATGACATATGTCATGTCACACAGACGACACTTGAGTTGGTGTGGTGCTCCAAAGCTTCTTTTAGGAACATGTATAAAATGGAAATGAGGACTAGGTCCCAGTGATTTTGCTCACCTACATGAGCAGAAACACAGCAGTGCACTGGGCAGAGGGCTTTGGGCTCGTCTAGGGTCCTCATTTACTCCCTTTCCTAAGGGAGGCAAGGGGACAGGGTCCATTATCTTCCCACCATCCCAGTGTAATTAGGATGACCCCCTCACAACCTGGGAGGCCTGAAAGCTGTCAGGTCAGCCCAACAGCTAGTAAGGTCTTTACCATTGTTGCTACACAGCAAGACTATGCCTTAGAACGAAGGGAGAGAAATGAAGAGATGGCTTAGTGGATAAAAGGACTTGCTGCTTTTCCAGAAGACCTGAATTCAAGTCTCAGTATTGGGTAATAGCCTCAGGTCATGAAGAATTGAATCAGGCTGTTCGGGCAATAGCCCTTAGCCATAAAGAATGGCTTAGCCCCAGCCTGACCTCTGCTCCACCTGCAGAAACAACATGCCTTGGTATTAAAACCAACCCTGCTCCCACCCAAACCACAAAAAACACTGTAACTTCCTATGTATGTGTGTATGTATATATACACGTGTCCTCCAGCCCCGCTAAATGCATTCAGCCTTCATCCCATGGAAATGTTGGGGCTCCTTGCTCTCCCAATAAAGCAGTCTCAGCCTGTTGAAATGAAGTCTGTCTGCCTCTCTGCCTAAGTTTTCTTACACTCAACACCCACAAGATTCACAATGGCCTGCAGCCCCAGCTTTATGGGCTCTGACCCTATCCTTTGGCCTCCAAGACCCTAGCCTGTCTTTGGGTTCACATACACACATGAGGGAGAGATGGCTAAGTGGTTAAGAGCTCAGGCTGCTCTTTCACAGGGCCTAGGTTCCATTCCCAACACCTACATGTTGGCTCACTACTATCTGTAACTCCATTTCCAGAGGAACACACACACACACACACACACACACACACACACAAAAACTCCAAAGCTCCTGTGGCTGTGAACAATCCCAGCACTGGAAAGGCAGAGGCACACAGATCTTTGGAGTCCCAGGCCAGTCTAGTCTCCACAGCCGGCTCCAGTCTGTCAGGAAATTCTTTTTCCCAAATTCTGCCAGTTAGACGAAAGCCAACATTCCTCAGGAACTTATGAAACTGGTTGTCATCTACCAAAGAGCCACTTCCCTTAGATCTGGCAGAAGGGACTATGGCTACCTGTGGCACTTCCCAGCCAATCAAAGTTCATGCTGGCCGGCAGGCTTCCTCAGCATCACAAGCACCTGTTACACATTTCAAAGCCCACGCTAGCATCCCGGCCCTTCTCCCCTTGTCGGCTGGAGAGATGGCTCAGTGGTCCCTTCTCCTCTACCCCAAACTCCCTCTAGCTTTCAGCTACACAGTCTCCTTATAACCCGGCTATTCTCCGTGTTCTCTCCGGTCTGCTCCTGCTTCTCTCGCCGTGTTTTCTCTATTCTCTATCCCCATCTCTCCCAGACAGCCTGGCCAGGTCCAGGCTACTTTCTCTCTCTGCTCTGGACTCGACTAGATGCCTCTGACTGTCCTCTCTTTCATATATACGACAAAAATCTTCCCCTTAGCCATACTATGGAGAGGTCATGTCGTCAACTTATACATTTTCCAGCCCCTAAAATAATAATAAATCTTTAAAACAACAACAACAACAAAACAAAAGTTTGTCCTTGTGTCCTTTGGGGACCCACAGATTCGAACCCTTCGCTCTCCATCCCCTCTGGACTCAGGACTGCCTGTCGCCTCCAACCCTCAGCCAGAGTCTAAAAGTTCAGATCCTTTCTCTTCCCTTTCCCTCAATTCTCCAGAACTGTGTCTGGCTCAAGGACACCAATTCCCTTAGAGCCTACCAGTGCACCAGCTTCTCCGCCCTCAACTAAAACCGCCTCGACGTAGTGCTGCACCAACCAATCGGGTGCGGCAACATCGGCACACAGGAGGCGGGACTTCTGGCGGACGCCGCCGTTGCCCTGCCCTTTAGTGTCCGGGCGGTGCTTCCGGCGGGCTTGCTGCGACTGCCTGCGACCCAGCGGTCATGAGCCGGCCAAGCCGGCTGCAGAGGCAAGTTCTGAGCCTGTACCGAGAGCTGCTGCGCGCCGGGCGGGGAAAACCGGGCGCCGAGGCGCGGGTGCGAGCCGAGTTCCGGCAGCACGCCAGCCTTCCGCGCTCCGACATGCTGCGTATCGAGTATCTGTACCGCCGGGGACGGCGCCAGCTACAGCTGCTGCGTTCCGGCCACGCCACGGCCATGGGTACCTTCGTGCGCCCGCGGGGCCCGACGGAGGAACCCGGCGACACGGCAACCCAAGGGACCACGCGGAACGATAGCGATGGCTCAAAGAGTCCTTGTGAAGGCGCAGGAGCACAGGAGACGCGATCCGATGGACGGTGACAGACTCAGAGAATGGTCCCTCCGGACAGTTTAGGGAAGACCGAGACCCTCATCTGATGGAAAGTATGTCTTGAGAGACAGCCGAATGTTCTTGATGCATGGTGAAAGATTCGACACTCCCTCACCAAGAAGGTTCCAGGCATGCTGTGGCACCGGTAGGCTGCACCATGTATGCTGTGATGCACTAACCCAATGTCAAAGAGAGCACAAACGCACTTCCTCCTCCCCACGAGGAGCCTAGACACCTCTCTTGGCTTCTGAGAACACACCCACCCCGCAATCTTGAGGGCATGCCCTTTGCTCTTTCTAACACGGAGAAAAGCAGACTTTTAACTGAGCAAGTTTAATAAATACCCTCAGGAACCATGAGAAACTGGCAGTCCGGAGTGGAAAAACGTTGTCCCACGCATTGTGCCAACACAGGATTGTAAGAGAGCGTGGACAGTAGCTCATCAGAGCTGATCAGCCCAAGGCTCTTGGAGAATCCCTCCTGGGCGGTTCTAGGAGGCAATCCCTACTCCTGTTTGTCTTCCTCAGGATTCTTGTAGAAAGGAAATAAATGTGAGGTGTGCTTACTTTCTTGACAATTTTCTTAAGATTTTCTGTCCTGCTGGGCTGTGGTGTATGTTCTGTGTGCAGCTTGGAAATCTACACAGAGAGAAGCTGTGCACATCTGGGGCCAGCCAGGGAGGAGGGGCTGTGCTCAGTGTACATTGGGGTCAGCACAGGGAGGAGGGGCTGTGCTCAGTATACATCTGGGGCAGCACAGGAAAGAGGGCTGTGCTCAGTGCACATCTGGGGCCAGCATAGTGAGGGGGCTGTGTTCAGTGTACATCTGGGGCAGAACAGGGAGGAGGGGCTGTGCTCAGTGCACATCTGGAGCCAGCATAGTGAGGGGGGCTGTGCTCAGTGCACATCTGGAGCCAGCATAGTGAGGGGGCTGTGCTCAGTGTACATCTGGGGCAGAACAGGGAGGAGGGGCTGTGTTCAGTGTGCATCTGGGCAGCACAGTGGGGAGGGGCTGTGCTCAGTGCACATCTGAGGCCAGCACAGGACTCTGCCTCGTTCTTGTATTTCCGTCTGTTCCCACCTCTTCCCCTGTACCTTAGGCTTGAGACTAGCCTCAAGACCTCAGGAGTCTGTACTAGAGGTGTGGCTCAATGGTGGAGTACCTGCCAGACATGTGCCAGGCCCTGGGTTTCATTCCCAGCAACACAGAACAGGAATATTAACTAGGCCTGAAGGCACACATCTATAATCCCAGTCCTCTGGAGGTTGAGGAAAACTAGGGGTTCAAAACTGCCCTGGCCTGAGTGGTAAGACCCTACCAGGGAAAAATATCTCCCAGAAAAGAGGGTGTTTTACAATTCTGAGCTAGTGATAACTCAGCCTGCACCCCTCTGTAGAATGTGGGCACATCCCCAGAATGAATGTGAGACCACATAGGTGTTGGCTGCTCACCCACGGCACCTGCCTCAGCCTCGCACCTGCCTCTTAACTTCCGGTGGCAGGTGCCATCTGCGCTATTCTTTTTCTCCCAGCCCCCAGAGACGAGTGTTCACGGAAGGATAGGCAGACAGGACATATTAGGAAGTCTGCCTTCCCAGGAAGAGACCTCTCCGGGGAGGTGCAGAAGCCTGGAACAAGTTTGAATGTGCTCCATACGGTTTCCCAGGGTCCCCAGCCATTCGGTACTCTGGGTACCGATAGCAGCTGCCAGCTTCCCCCCTTTCCTGGACCGCATCCTCCTTCTCCTACCACTCTTACTTTTGTCAGCTCTAGAACCAACAACTTGGGCTTTAATCTTGCATTACAGTCTGGGAAACCTCAATTAAGGTAGGATCCTTCAGTCCTGTGTTCTACCCTCAGACACAGGAGTGTAGAATAGGCCGTCGAAACATATCCAGGCTGTCTTGTCTCTGTTTCCAAGTTCTCAAAGCACTCAATGTTTTCAGCCATCTTTGGAAAAGTAACCATTTAATACACATGTCTGGGCCATGGACTCAGATTGGAGGGAGACCATTGACATAGCTGAGCACCAGGTAGGGCGTCCTGGCCAGTCGGGCATGAGAACAGCAGGGGACCCCTGACAAGGGCAGCAACAATGTGGCACCCACCAGAAGGAACAAGAGAAGGAGAAAGAAGAGCGTCAGGGGTCGCCTGGAAGCAGAAGCCGGGACCCTGAGAAGAGAGATTATTGAGAAGGGTGGTCGGCAATCATGACCCCTCTCGCCCACATCCCTGCCCCATTCTCACCCGGGATCCACCTCCAGCATCACATCCGGTGGACTGGGAGACGCTTGTCTCTTCTGGTCCTGAGGGAGATGGGAGCCAGCAGCACAATGAATGGCAGTGACACTTACGTGGGGACATTCTCTCTCTACTCTAGACCTACAGGGCTACCTTTATTTCTCCTTTCCTGGCACTCTTGAACTGCACATGAATTTATAGTGTGGTGGGTGTCTGTCCATACCTGTCCTTCGTGTGTCCACTGCCCTTTTCCTGATAACATTGCTGGGATGGTGTGTGGGTGTGTGGGTGTGTGGGTGCCTAAACTGTATTCCACTCTCCCCTCTTCCAGGATGGAACACGTGACTCAAACCTGGCCAATCAGAGCACTCTGACTAGTTCCAGGGTGCAGCCTGTGACCCAAGCTGGCCAGGTGAAGTCAGGCCTGGGACTTTGGCCACTGCTAGTAGGTCAGGGGTCATAAGGGTAGGTTGGTAAAGCAGAGAGACTGTAGCGACTGGGGATGGAGAGGAGGCCAAAAGACAGAGATGGAGCCCTGACAACATTTTAGGTCCTGAATTCGTGATGTGTGTGGCAGTCAGTATGGACTGGATCTCTTTTACTTGCCGTCAGCATCCTCCACTGCTCCTGGCTCACCTGAGGCTTCCGGAGACGCCTTCGATGGTGAGCTGCTAAATGTTTCCGGTGGCTGAGCCCCAACGTGAGCAGGTCCTGTGGGAAGAGAAAGGCTCGTGGTTCTTGGAAGACTGGAAGCATGGTTTACAGAAGGCTCTGGAAGGAGACGAAATTATGCAGGCACACACAGCTCTCATGGGGAAATCAGAGGGGCGGAGCCCAAGAAACCAAGAAGAGAGAAACTACTTATTCATTCACTCAACAAATATTTCATGAGTGTCTGTTACACACCAGGCACAGTTCTAGGAGATGTGGTGAGGATGGAAATGGGCGACATCCTGGCTCCTGGGGAGATGAACATTCTACCCAAATTAACAAGTGAATGGATCATATCAAGCTGCGGTGAGGATTATCAGGAAATAATGGGTCACATCAGCTCTCTGGAGAGATGACACACGAGGAGGCTGGACTGAGAGGGGGAGGTGAGCTGGGCATGCATCCAGGGCTTAGGTGGGAGTGAGGCTGGTGTGCTCAGAGGAGCAGGCTTGTGTCTGCAGCACAGGGAAGAGCAGAACGACAGGACAAAGGTTAAGAGGAAAGAGAAACAGAGCAGAAGGGAATCATGGTGACGTTTATGGTAGACGTAGATAGGTGGGCATGCCGGTGCATGCCTATAATCCCCACACTTAACAGACTAAGACATGAGGATTGTGAGTTCAAAGCCAGCCTGTGCTGCATAACGTGAATTGTCTAAAAGGAGCGAGACAGAGAGGCTTAGAGGGGGAGACAGAACCAAGTCCTCCTCGAAAGACAGCCACACTACAAAGTGCAGAAATACCCTATGGTGCCCAGCCAAGTAGGGGGGCCTTTGAGGGGGCAAATCTCACCTCAAGGCCCTGTCCGCTGTCCTGGGGTCCCCTGTAGCCACACAGCTCACAGGGAACTCCTGGTATCCGAGATATCTTTTTCCCTGAGGGCCCAAGACCCCCAACATCCCCTGCTGGGTCCCATTCCAACTCTGCAGGAGTCGGGTAGGTACTAGGTGCCCAGGGCCCCCAGATTCCACCAGGTGTTGGCCCGTCTGAGTCTCCCTCAACTTCCAAGTCCTGGTCCAGGAGGTTGGCCTTCTCAAGCACCTGGAGCAGAAGGTAGATGTCATGGGAGTTGGGGGATTAGGGCCTGGGCTGGGGACGACCAGGGCAGACCCTACCAGGCTATAGCTGATCAGCTGGGCCTGTAGCTGCCAGAGTCGTTGGAAGATGGTATCTCGGTGGGTTCCAAGGGCCCTCAGGACCCGCTCCAGAGATGCCCAGGCCCTGGGCTCACTCCTCTCTGCCAACCCTTCACCAAATGCCAGTAATGCATCCACACGCTCGGCTGCCCCTCGTAGCTCTGCCTGCAGGGCCTGAGACAGACGGTTAGACACTCTCACACGTTGACAGTGATTCCAGACCCCCCAAACCTGGGGTTATCTCCTCCTCCATGCCCTATGCAGAAGTCGGAATATGTACTAACCCCACATTCCACCCCAGGAAGCTTGCACCCGTGCCTAGGACTGTACCTGCTCTCCCATATCCTAACCTTCCCCTGCCCACCTGCAGCTGGACCATCCTGCTGTGGGCCAGTGTCCATGATCCCAGGCCTTGTTCCAGGTCCTGTAGCTGGAAGCTCAATCCCAACAGACAAAGATGGAGGCTGTCCTGCTCAGTTTCTAGTACTTCCAGGCCAGAGACAGCATGCTAGGGATTCCAGGGGCCAAGTCAGGGCCAGTGGGCCAACACGACACACCCTTTTCCATCCCAGCTGCTGCTCTGTAGGCGCTTTTCTGGAGCACTGCCCATCTCCAGAGCAACCTGGGGCTGCTCCCACTGGGCAGCCTTTCACCCCAAGGCTGGAGACAACTAAGTCAAGATCTTCAGGCTCTCGAGCCTATAAGAAACCTCTTCATACGGGTCTAAACTGGGAGGGGTAATGGAGCAGAATGAGGCCATTAATGAAATTATGATGTCCAGCTTGGCAACGGAGATACATACTTAAAATCCCAGCTCTCTCAGGCAAGAGAACTGAAGGTTCAAGGCCAGCCTGAGCTACACAGTGAAAGCCTGTCTCAAATAGGGAGGTGGGGGAAGCTGGCTCAGTGGATAGTGTTTTCTGTGGTGACTCGAGTTTGGATCCCCAGAACACAAAGAACCGAGCGTGTGGCACCGTTCGCCGCCAGTGCTGGAGAGGTGGAGGCCAGCGGGTCCCTGTGGCTCACTGGCCAGCCAACCTGACCAAATCAGTGGGAGACCCTGTCTCAGAAAATACGGTGGAGAGTGTCTGAGCGACATTGCCCCGCTGGGCTCCACAGGCATGTGCACCTGCCCTCATTTAGGCACACACAATAAATACACAAAACTTAAAAATATTTGCAGTACTTCTGTGCTGATTGGCAAATAAATATCCTTACAGTGTCCCTTCCCCCACTGACACCCAACACCTCCTCCGAATTATTTGTTTCTAGAGCAAGAGGCATATTCTAGGGACCAGAGGAAGTGGGACTGGCCCAAAGGGTGTGGCCAGCTCACCTCACGGCGCTTGCCCCCATCTTGATGCTCATGGGAAGAGGCCAGGGGTAGTCTTGGGGCACTGCTGGCAGGCTCTGTGTCCTTCAGTTCACCTGTGACGTGTTCAGGAGGGCCCAAGGAGGCCTGGGCCTGCTCTGACCTAGAGATAAGGAATGCTGATGGGGCCCGTGTGAGCCACTGTACCTCATTTTCCACCCAAACCCCATTCCCAGTGTCCTCCACGTCCTTATTCAATCATGGTCGCACATGGCCCTTTCCGCTGTCCCCTCCCTTGGAGCCAGATGTCAAGCCCCAGTCCCCACCTGTTTGTCTCCTCTGCAGGCATGATGGTCCATTCAGCAACGTCCAGCTCCCTAGGAGCACCCTGAGGCTGACTGAGGGGCTCTGAGGAGAGTCCATGGCCAAGAGCTGGGGACAGGGCCATCGCTGTGGACTGGGGGCCAGTCAGGTGAGGACATTGGTCAGCGACTCCTTCTCGGCCAGGCCCCCATGCTTCTTCCTCAGCAGGATATTTCCAAGCCGGAGGCTACTGAGAGGCCCAGGGGCCGGCCTGGCTCCACCCCTTCCAGCAGGAACCTGGACCCAAGAAACCTGATGCCCTGCTGTGGTACAGAGACACTTAACTCCTTCCTCCCCAGCAGGAGAACCTAACCATTCCAAATAACACCCCCACCCCACCCTCACCCCGGCCGCAGCCATCCCTTTGACACAGAAAACTCCACTTATCCCCTCAAACCCAGCATCCTGTCACCTTCAGGGACCCACGTATCTGACCACCAGGGCACATTCCTTTGTCTAAGCACCTGGTAACTCAAGCCTGTCTGTCATTTCAGGCTAGAGGATCTCATGTTCAAAGCCAGCCTGGGCAACTTGTGGAGAGCCTGTCTCAAAACTAAAAACGGGAAATTGTTGCTAGGGTTATAGATTAGCTGTGCAGTACTAAACTATATATGCTATATATAAACAACATTTGCCTAGCATCCAAGAAGCTCTGGGTTCTATCCCCGGTACTGGAGAGGGGGCGGGGAGGAAGGAAACCACAGCGTCTGTTCCCACCTAGTAAAAAATCCAAAACAAGAAAAGGTATTTTCGGTTTATTTGCTCCGGCGTCCTCTCCACGGTTTCCACAGTTACTGGGAAAATAAATAACCCTGGACGGCCACCTCTACCCTAGGGTTCCAATGCCACTGAATGGGCAGGACTTGAGCAGTCACTTGCTCAGCAGGAGGCTGGCGCGCAGCACGCGGGGCACGCGGCGAATGGTCAGGGAGACGCGGGTGCCGCGCACCAAGTGGGCTCCGGGCAGCGCCGATTGGCATGCAGCTGCATTGGGGGGCAGCGAGGCGGCATCCAGCTCATCCACATGAGTGGCCGCGATGCCATGGAGCAGGTGAGTGTAAGCTGTGCCCCGGAGCACCAGCAGGCTGCGCGGTTCCACCAGCAGTGAGGTGATGGGCTGTGGAGGCGGCCGGGGCTGCGGGAGCCGGTTGATGGTCAGTAGATATCCCAAGTTTGAAAAGTCAGCAGGAGTCAACAGTTGCTCAGGGGACAAGGGTCAGCAAGCCCCCAGGGTGGGTGAAAGCTTTGGTGGCTGAGGAGTGGCAATCTACAGGTTCTGGGGACAAGGCTATTGGGGAAGGAAGCCCTGTGTTTATGTGGGTCCAGTCCCTGGAGAGGAGGCGGGGCCTACGCTGCTGCTGAAGACATCAAGGGTCACTACACTGTGAGAACTTCAGCTGGCATCCGAGAGACTGGGACAGATCCATGCAGAGGTCAGCTGGGAGTACACTGCTGGGGCCAGGCTCTGGTAGAGGTTAAAGGGCGTGGTCAACGCCAGGACTGGGATGTTAAAGACCTGGTAGCCCAAGGTGTTCTAGAGCATGGGGGAGCATGTAGCGCTAGGGGAGGCTTCAGTCAGGAATGGTATTGCAGGAGGCCTGTCTGAGTGGGAGGAGTGAAAAGAGGGTAGTGCGCACAGAGGGCTGGGAAATATCAGGCCTACATGGTGATTCTACAAACATGGGGGTATCAAGAATGCATGACTTAAGGGCCACAAGACAGAGAGAGATTGGGGTGTTAGGTGTGCCCAACACAGCCATGTGATAATGAATTGAGGAAGTCTTGGGGTCACAGAGCAAATGACTAGAGTATCAAGACACCAATGTTGAGGTGCCTTGAACGTACTACACAGTATGTTGGAGCCAAGCATGGGGGCACATGCCTGTAACCCCAGCACTTGGGAGGATGGGGGGCAGGAAGATGGCAATTGTGAGGCCATCCTGGACTACAGAAACCTTGTCTCAAAAATAAATAGGAATAATTTTTAAAGAGTTTGCTGGAACACTCTGTTGAGATCAAATGGTTTGTGGGTGTGTCACAGTCATGGAACACCCCAGAGAAGTAGTAGGGATCTGTGGACATTGTGGCATCTAGAGCGTCACACAGGCCAACTGGTCGGGTACGGGTAGGCTGGCTCTCTGGGAGAAAGTAGGGATGCCCACCCAGGGACAGGGAAACATGTCTGGGCGTCAGGAATCATCTGGAGACAGGTAGAATCAGACTGTCCTGGAGTATATGGGATGTCAGGTGTTGGAATGCCCCAAATGCTTGGGATGTTATCTTAGGACCCACCTGTTCTATGGGGACATCATCCTCTGGCTGCCGAGGTTCATAGAAATCAAGGACAGTGTGGGACCCCAGGCTGATGGTGCTGACGGTTGGGTAATACAGTGGTCCATCTTCATGAGGCTGGGGAGGAAAGGGGCACGAGGGATGGCCAGGGCAGGAGCCTACCCCACTCCATTAAATCAAAGTGGGGTTCCCAAGCTGGGATAAGGAGTTAAGTGCCTAGGTAGGATGTGTAGCTGCTCAGTGAGGGGGGCAAACATAAGGGTTACCCTTCCTCTTGATGATTTGGAGATCTGGGGGAGGTAGGTACCAAGGGAACTGGGATGAGGGTATGTGGTTACCATGATGCCCTCCCCAGGCAGATACTGGTTCACAAGGACATGGTTAGCTGGGAGACCCCCAAAAAGGCTGAGGTCGGACACTTTGTCCACATAGCGCTGAAGCCATGGAGGAAGTCGCTCAGGAACCATCCCCCGGGGATGGGGGAGCCCACCTGCAGAGGTACAAAGGAGCCTTGGCATCTGGTGTCCCCATTAGGGATACTCTAGTGGTTGGAAGCATCCCTCCCCACTGAGTTTTGGAGACCGCTACTGACCTTTCTGAAGTTTTCTTCAAAGCACTTGGCCCTTACTCCCAACCACTCAGTAAACCCCAATCCCTCAAGGCCACCACCAAGCCCTGAATTGTCCTGGATCTGGGCCCCCTGGAGTGCTTGGAGATAGCTCCACATTTTGAAACCATTGGAACTGAGCCCTTCCTCACATCCTTAGCTAGGAACACTTACCCCAGTTCTGCAGCTTTCTTCCAGACAGCTGGGTCCACTTTGGCTTTGGGGCATTGAAAACCTAGGAGGTGGTGGAATAGGTTTTCAGGATCTTCCCATGAACGCTGGCACAGTGGCCTTATAGTGGGGGCAGAAACGGGCTCTCTGGAGCTTGTCTGGAGGTTCCAGTTGGGGACAGCAGCTTTTTAATATAATCTGGCTGAAGAAGAATGATCCTCCACTATCAAGAGTTTAGCTTCAGCTGGGCGTGGTGGCGCACTTTTAATCCCAGCACTCAGGGGGTAGGCAGAGGCAGGCGAATCTCTATGAGTTTGAGGCCAGCCTGGTCTACAAAGTGAGCTGTTACACAGAGAAACCCTGTCTCAACAAAACAAAAAAAAAAAAAGTTTCGCTCCGAGGTGGATACTCATAAAGACATGGGAAGCTCAGGGACTAGCCAACCAATCAGCTACCTCGACCTTGGCAATCAAGGGGTAACAGATGTCCTATCCAGACTGTACCTACAGCCGGAAATGGGATTCTTCTCTTGGTGTGCTATGTTCCCAGATTTTTTTTTTTCCTTTGGATAGGGTCTCAGTAGCCCAGATTGGCCTGAAATCCCTACAGAGAAGGGTAAGTGACTGTGAATTCCTGACTCTCCTACACCCACCTTCCCAGTGCTGGCATTATAGGCATGTGCCACCACACCCAACTTGGGGGATCACAACTAGGGAGAATGAGCTCTGAAACGTTCTTGCTCCCAAAGCTCTAGGGTTGCTCTAAGCTGTTCCTGTCAGGAATGTGATCTCAAAAACACTCTTGTTTTAGAGGTGAGACTGGGCTACCTCAATATAGAGAATGTGGGTTTCACAACTGCATCCTTGGGCTGGTGGAGGTGTGCCTCAATGGTAGAGTGCATGCCTAGCATGCAAAGGCCCAGATCCCACACCCCTTCCCCAGCAGGAACACACACACATGCTCACTTGCATGCACGCATTCATCCTCCTTCCAAAGAATTTATTTGCTTTTCTCCTAAGCCTCTAAGGAAAGTTCTTTCTTGTTTATTTTGTTATCTTTGCTGTTTTGTTATAAACAAGAGCTAGCTAGACAGGACTGGAGAGCTGACTCAGCGGTTAAGAGCACTGGCTGCTCTTGCAGAGGACCCAGGTTCATTTCCTAGCACCCACCTGCTGGCTCACAACCATCTGTATCTCCAGTTTCACCCCTGAAACATCTTCTAGCCTTCTCGGGCACTGTGCAGAGGCAGTACACATACATATATGCAGAAAAAAACACTCATACATGTGAAAAAGTTCTTTAAAAATCTAAGAAAACTAGGTGGATCTCTGTGAGTTCGAGGCCAGCCTAGTCTACAAGAGTTAGTTCCAGGACAGGCTCCAAAGCTACAGAGAAATCCTGTCTCGAAAACCCTCACCTCACCGCCCCCCCCCAAAAAAAAATCTAAGAAAACAAAAGTCCTGAAATTTGGGATTCTCCTGCCTCAGCTTCCTCTTGCTGGGATTACAAGTATGTGTCACAGCTGGCTCAGAAAGCTCTTTGGGACAGACCAAGCAATGGCTGAAAGAGGGATGGAAGCATGAGGGTGCTGAGACACTCTCCTCGCCAGCGTTTTCTCTGGCGTTGCAAGCATTTATACGGGGACTGAATGTTGGAGAGGAATATGGCAAGACGGGAAAGATGGACGAGAAGGGTCACCTGTCGAAGCAAATACTCCTCTTCTTCCTTAGAGATGAAGTCGGGGACATAGTAGATTAGAGGCGGTGCCTATAATGGAGAGACTGCCCTTAGGATGGCGGTTCTTAACCTGTGGGGTCTTGACCCCTTTGGAGTCAAATGACCTTTGGGGTCAAATGACCCTTTCTCAGTGACCACCAAAGACCACAGGAAAACACAGATTATTTACATTATGATTCACAACAATAGCAAAAGTACAGTCATGAAGTGGCAATGAAATAATCTTATGGTTTGGGAGTCACCACAGCATGAGGAACTGTGCTAAAGGGTCTCAGCGTCAAGAAGGTTCAGAACCACCGCCCTAGGATGAGGCCCTTTGCCCAACAGGAACCTATCATGACTGAGCAACCTTTCCTTTTGGAGA